AATCGGTCGCGAGCTTCAGTTTCTCCGAGAGGGACGCGCACTCGTCAAGAGCCTCTTCCGCTTCGCCCGATCGCGAAATCTTATCGGATTCCAGTTTAGCTATCCGATCGAGATGCTTCTCTTCCCGTTCCTTTAGGGCCGCATGCAACTTACCTGTGTCTCTTCTCAGTTTCGATTCCTTTTCTTTGAGAAAAGATATCTGCGTTCGAAGATTTTTAATCTCGTCCGAGTGGCTCGCCTTCGCCGATTTCTCCCTCTCGAGATCGTCTCGAAGCGATCCCAGTTCCTTGACGTGGGATTCGTGAGATTCGTCTCGTGCCTTCTTCAATTCTTCGACCCTTTGCTTCCACTGCGGGATCTCCTTCTCGATGTTTTCGTGGTTCGCCTTCAGCCTGATCTCGGCTTCCTTGGCGGCCGCCAGATCGCGGGACGTCCGTCGCAGTTCGTCTTTAGCCTTTTCTAGAAGGACGGAAAGTTCGGCACTCCGGTCGTCCGCGCATTCTTCGCGCGCTCTCGAGAGGTCCGTTTGCAATGCGGCTATCTCGTCTTTGAGAGCGGTCGCCTCGCGTCCCTTGTTAGCGAGTTGCACCCCCAATCCTTTTATCTTCCGTCCGTCACGTTCCTACCCTTCTTTGAGGACGGCGATCTCGTCTTCGAGACCAGCCGCCTCTCGAATCTTCTTCGCGATCGTAGCGTCCAACTCTTTCATCCTCTTCACGTTTCTTTCAATCTCTTCTTTGTAGGCCGTCATTTGATCCTCCGTCTTACTTCCGTTTCGTTTCATTTTCTCTTCCAGGGTGTCGATTTCGTTCCGCAAGTCGATAGCCGTGCAATCTTTATCGGAAAGCTGCTTTTCCATCCTCCTACTCTCCTTCTCGTTCTCATCCTTCAGGGCGGTTAATTTTTCGACATCCTTGATCAGCGAAGACTCCTTTCGGGTGGCCTCGGCCAGCTTTTCCTTAAGATCGGCAATCTCAGTTCGGAGAATGTCGGTCCTGTCGGAGTGATCGGCCTTGGCCGTTTCCAGATCTGATATCGCCTTTGTCTTGTCGGACTCGACGGAAGAACAAAACTCGCGAAGGTTCGCTTCGTGATTCTTCTCCGTTACGTCCAACCACTCCTTCAGACTCTCGACCTCCCTCTCGCTCTCTTCCAACTTCTTCGCCTACCGTCGTTCCCTGTCTTTGGCAGTCTCCAATTCGCGAGTCGCCAGTCGCAGATCCTCTTTGATCTTTTCGAGAATTGCCGAACGTCGGGCGTCGCCGTCGCTGCGTTCCTTGAAAGCCGTTGCCACCTTTTCCCTTTCGGCACGAAGTTCGTCTCTGAGGGAGGCGATCTCCTTGTTC